CAAATCTCCTCATGTTTGAAACCGTTCGGGGAATATGTGCACGTTAAAATTCATCATGCTTTTGTTTCGTCATATTAATTTGCCTACAAATATCAAATCATGCCAAATCGCAGTTGCTTCATATGTAAAATATAGCCCTTGAATTATATTTTCTTTCTATGCTAAAAGCTCAATATAATAAGATGGTAATCGCAAGCACTCAGACTTTAAAAATTCGACAAAATCTGCTTCAAAAACCGTTCGGATGATTGATGCGTTACCTTAAGCGTGAAGTTTGAGGTCGCCACGAAATGAAATTGACGTAACCGAGATATATCGGTGGTATGGTGAAATATACTGCAAGCTAAGGGCTGGTCTGGATACCACCTCATAAAATTATGCCATAAACTGTTTTACTGTTAATAATTCTGCAGAAATCTCCCAAAGTCTCATATCCCATGAAAAAAAGGAGAAATGAAGTATCTATAAGTATATAAAGTTGTCTGGATGCCAGTTGAATATGGAAAAATTATTCGATTTCCGATTGAAGTGCAAGAGTTCAACCTGAACACAAACCTCCATAAAAAGTTGGACCAAATCGGTCTATTTGATTTATACCATCAAACACCCGATGCTCAAGAAAATTGTGGCATTAAGTTTTGAACTTTGGTGGTATCCAGACGCATAAAATCTCGAAAAATGGAACTTTTCTTCGAAAAACGGCCATTTTATGCCATTTTTTGTGGCATCCCTGCACTAAGCGAAATATAGTGAAAAAAATATGAAACCGCAAAAAGGTGGAACGTACTTGGACAAAGAACCATGGGAACGAATTCAGGTTCGATCTCAGTACTTTCTACTGTATCGATCAATGTTCTCCTTCTGTCATGTGCACCCAAGGTTCTACAACGGGTTTTGGGATTCGTATACTGGTACTACAAAGGAGTTTACTGTACTGCCCCGATTATGTATTGTATTACCGTCCCGATTATGTATTCGTTCAAAAAAGCTTGGGTCGCCAACTGGCAATCAGGCAATTGCCCATATTTTGAGCGATGGCGAACAGAATATCGTGGATCTAATGGCATAATTTGTGTCGTTTCGACGTGAGCCAATCAGAGAACTGCGCCCCTGCGGGCACGCTCCTGTGGAGGCCATCAGTTTTTAGCCAATGGCATGTCCGTCTTACTTTTCCACTTTGGTCTCACACAAGCGACGACACCATCATGGACGCGTTGTTGGCCTCGGAACTGTCTGCTGAAACATTGGCTGCGCTGCAAGCCCACTTGGCCGCGACTCAAATCGCCGACGAGTCTGCAGACGACGAAGTGTCGGAGGACTTTCGGCTGTCTCAATTGTACGAGGCCTACGCGAGTAGCTTCTCGAGTGAAAAGCCGTTGTGTCTAACCTTTGTGTTGGTCATAGCTGGTACGACGACGTAACAGGTGAGGCACTGGCTCGCGAGGCTTTGGAGATGAGCAAAGGTGGACCAATTGCCTTTTTGAGTACTCCTGCCGCCTACAAGGCGCTCAAGGTAGGTCAGTTGAATTACTGTATGTATCCAACGGCATTCTGTATACGCTGGTGGCAAGTTTACATGCTCGCTTCGTTTAGAAACTCGAACCTGAGCGCAAGAACGTGTACATTTTCGAGTATGACCATCGATTTGGCCAGAAATACGGCGACGAGTTTGTCTTTTACGACTACAATGCCCCGCTCGACGTGGACGCAAAGTTTCACAACTTTTTCGATTATGTGCTGGTGGAGCCTCCATACTTGGTACTGTATATATATATATGTACACCTACCTCCTCGATTCATAGTGTAATTGATCGCGTTTGGAGGGTAGACGGAACAATGCATGAAAGGATTTGGGGAAACCATGAAATTGATTTCGCGCGAAGTTGTACCGACCGACCATGGCAAAAAAGTTATGATCACCCCCAACGTCTTTATCAATTGTACGTGTCTAGCAAATGGATTCGATTATTGTAAAGTATATTCATGTAATTTGTGCAGCTGGAGCATTGAAGGAGGCCATGGCGGACGAACTGGGGCTCACTCCAAGTGGCTTTGTGCCGACGTTCGAGTCGAAATTGTCCAATCGGCTCACGACTTACGTCAACTACTCGTCGGAACGGTTTGGCAAGTACGAAGCGTGAAAGCCTCTGTGTCGACGAGAGTGTTCACAAGTTGTTTGTTTGCATAAGTCCCGTGAGTTGCACGACCCATCTCCGTTTGTACTCTCATTTTAGTCGAGTTGCTTACTTCGGACGATATCGATAACGTTAGCCATAACTTAGTCTCTATAAGTTACTGTTAGTATCAATGCAATCACATCATATGCAACGAGTCAACGTGGCATCGCAGATCGAACTTACAACAAACTCCGAAAGAAAAACGTGAGACTACGAAACAAAAAACGCCGCGTTTTACTGTTAAGAGTAACTGTCGAATTTATTATTACGACCTTTCCTCAATATTACTACTAGATAGTATTTGATTGGCTCACGCACTGGACGAGCCGTTTCAAAACGATCACCTTTGCACTTTTCAAGGCCGTGATGGTCGACATCGCCAACAGCACGGATGGGCAATGCTCTCCACGGAAGAAGCTCATGCAAGCCCAGCTGAGGGATCGGGAGCTGCGGGAAGAAGACAAGGAGTCGACGAGTGACCTACCTGGCGCCAAAGGATCAAAGGATAACGACGACATGGACAAAGATGAAGTCGTCCCAGTTTTGAACCAGAAGCCTTCGTTTGGCACGACCGTGTTAAGCACCCACGAGCAGATACAGCTACACATATCCCTTCCAAATCACGCGGGCGCCACGCCAAGGTTGGCACGCAAAGTGTCCGAGAACTACATTCGCGGGGTTCTGGGAGAAGCCCAAGCCAAAGCGACTGTGCGAGGTAACTCCGTCGATGATTGTGAATTTGTTGACGATGATGGTTCACGATGTAAGTGTAGAGTCGCAGGAAGCGTGTAAATAGCCTTAAACGACACAATTTGCCACATAAAATATCATTACTGCGCCTTCTTGGCGGCGTCTAGATCGGTCTCGAGGGGCTTCATGGTCACTTTGCCAAAGTTCCAGCATAGAAGCATCGACACGGCACCGATGCCGCCCCATTTCAGGATGTTCGAGATCGATCCTACGTGCGCAGCCAAGATCCACGTCTCTTTCTGCATCGACTTGTTCGGTTCGAACGTTTGCGCCGTGTAGATATGCGCGGCATTTTCGAACGTGTCGAAGATCGCGGCTAGGAAGGGCAGGTAGATGATCAACGGCTCGTGGGGCCCGAGGCGGCGGTGGACGAGTAGGAGGAGCAGCGTCAAGAAGTGAACGTCTGTGACATTGAGCAGATGAGTGAGGTCATGGCGATAAGAGATGGCAAGTATACATGTTGGAATGAACACAAACAAGTCCACGAGTTCAAAGTACACGTATTGCTGGCGCACGGCAGGACCCATCCATGCATACAGCTCAAATAGGTCTTGCGCGTCGTAGCCATACCTAAGACAACAGTTAGCATGGGCCTCTGAAGATGGCATCCTGGTCACCGAGCATCGGGTATCGGCAAGATGGCGGTTGTTGCGAGGTTATGGTCGAGTGCTGGGCCATACACGTTGGTAGCAAGGAGCACCTGCAGGAACACAAACACTGCGACTTGGGCTGTGGCGAGGACTCTGATGCGGAACGTTGACTTGCTCACATACTCGACAAAGTTGGCCGCCGACTCCATGATGCTCCCCATGGTTCGTGGAGAAATCCGAACAATTCTGAGGCGTCAACCTACTAACTTACATTTTAGTTAACGTAACTATTTATTGTATTATAGAAGTATTGACATTTCGCAAAATATTTTTCATAACAAGAATAAACTAAAGTAATTGGTGTAGTACAGTAGTATACAAGTAAGCTTGGACGGTTTCATTTGGACAAAATATGTTCCCCTTATGTAAGTCCAATACAAATGTCAAGTATGTATGACGGAGATTACTATCTGAACGGTGTCCGCAAAAAAAGTGCTCATATTTTGCCCAATTCACGCCTTACTCCAGGTGCAAAGCAAAATGGCAACGCACAACCTGCCAGCTTTCGTATCGGCACTTGTGCAAACACTTGAAGGTCGACGCATTCCCAATGCACCAAGTGAGGTTGATCACGTTCCGTACTCCTCCTCTCAAACTACCATACAGTAGTCTGGTAACATCCCACAGGTATCTCCACTGTCCACTGTCCAAATCTCCCTCAGGTTTTCTGGCCTCATTTTCTCCTCCTCATTATGACAATCAAAACCCTAGCTACTGCTGTGTCAGGACCTACCGAGTATGTCCAGGCTGCTCTTAACCAGCGTCGACGGCATGTATGAGGTGGACGCCATGCTCTTCAGATACACAGCCACGCTGGCAGGGTCAGCTGGCATGACCCTCACGGCATGCATCGTCGTGTTCCAATGGGACAAGGTCAAGCGCGACGCTGGCTACGGAACCATGTTCATGGTGTTCTTGTGCTGGTTCTTATGGTCCTCCACCACCCTCGTGCGGACCGTCGTCGTCTTTCTCAACAACAGCCTCGACACCCTCGAGCACGACACCATTCGGCACATGACATTCCTCACCGAGACGTTCTTCAACGCGATTTCGATGTGGCTCATCGCCGCCGCCTACGAGTGCCAGCGGCGCGCCTTGACGCCGCGGACCACCGAGCGGAGCCATCGTGTGTGTCTTGTTGCATACATGTCGGTGATTGGTGTCCTCTCGATGATGTTTCTCGTGTCGTTGGTCGTGCTCGATCGCAGCGGCGCTACAGTCACTGGGTTGGACGTCGTCGATGCCACCGAAGCCGAACCGGTGGCGGGCGTCGTGCTAGCCAGACTCTCGTGGTTCACATGGAGTTTGCGGTGCGTTGCCGTGGGGTACCCCGCCCTGGTCGCCCTCTGGCTCAAACTTCGCCGGCATCGACTGCAATTCACAGGGCTCCCCAAAGCAGTGTCGTGGATTGTGCTGTTTTTGTTTGTCCTGAACACCCCGTACTTGGTCATCGACCCTCTCTTTGTCGTGGGAGTGCTAGACCCCTCTGCCCATATCCGCATCTTGGGCCTCATGAAGACCTTTACCTACATGAGTGGCATAGCCATCTCATTCGTCATGGGGTTTGCCGTAAGAGGGTTCGATGCATTTTACAACTCCAAGCCTACTCCTAGCACTAGCCTCCACCGCGACCTCTTTGTGTTTTCAGATCGCTCAGACGCATACGCTTAGGCAGTAGTCCTAGGAATATATATATAATCGTGTTCATATCTTTATGTGTGGACACGATGAATTTCCATTCGACTATTGTCTCCCACAACTGCCCCCACGTCTCCGTTAAACACACCACCAAGTAGGTACAGACTATGTACTGTACAGTGTAGGACTATACATCTCGATCGCTTCTGAAAGTGGAGCCTATGGGTCCTAGTAATTATCCTAAAATTTGGGCCAAATCTATCGATCGATTCTTTACACTGCAGTTTCTTAGTCAAAAGATGTCCTGTGGTGGTTGGTATCACACTAATTGAAGTCGCACACTAATTTGACGTTGATGATGGCTGATGTGTCGATTCATTCTCCATATCGCTCCAGTTTAGAATAAACACAAGAATATCATAGCATCGACAGTTCTAACACGTTCGGTGCAGTCTACTGCTGTGTTCAGGGGTGCGATCTTACATTACGGCCAGTTCAACTAACGAAGGAACTCGACGACATGCATGTGGTTGTTCGCCATGGCCTGGTCCATGGCGCGGACAGTTCTGGGGAATCCACGGTGGACGAGATATTTCACAATTTCCAAATGGCCATAGGCGGCAGCAGTGTCGATCAAGACGGGGTTGTTGAAGGCTTCCAATTGGCGGTCGATGAGCCAAACCAGCAGCTCCAGGTGGTTGTATTGCGCTGCGAGGTGGATTCGATTTGGATGGAAGGCCCCAATCGCGATTAAACATTCCGCCGTCGCGATGTCGCCCCGCTGGACTCCAAACTCCCACGCGTCCGCGTCGAATTTGCGATCGGTGAGATGGTTGTGGATGAACCAAATGGCGTCGAGACTTCCTTGTGACGCAGCCCATCCGATGGATCGTGAAGAGCAGCCCGTGTGGTTGATTTGGACCAAGAACCCAAGCACAGGCAGTTGGTTGGTGGAGGCGGCAACGTCCCACAACAGCAACGTCGGGGACAGGTATTCACTTTGGTGCAAGCACTCGAGAAGGTGTAGGTCCCCAACGTAGGCCGCATGGAGCGCGAGGATGTCTCGTGTATGGGGGTGGTAGGATACCCAGCGATGGACACGCTCCTTGTACGAGTGTTGAACGAGGTACGCCTGGAGGACGTCGCTGTTTCGACGCAGCGTCAAGTGGGGAAACGTACAGAGCTTGTGGTGGATGTAAGGTCGGCCCAGCTTGCGAAATGCCAACGCCTCAAACGTGCGTCCGTCCTGGAATTGACCGATGCTGGCCATGACATCAGGGATGGAGAATAACGCGCCACTTGGTCCTACTACCATGGCGTATGACGTTGCCAATTTGACACTGTCAACAATTAACGTCGGCTCAGACGGGATCTGGCTTTGATTTGCTCGTCCCAACAGTCGACTGCAATTCCCTACATGTTTCCCTTTCAAATATTAAGCTACATAGTTTGTATGTAAAATATAAGGGACATTTGAGATGAAAACGAGCGAATGTACTTGGGCTTGAGAATTGTTCGTCCACAGCAATGATGTTCCATTCGTCAATAAGAATGGATTACTTGGCCAATCGCTGTACTTGAGCTATTATTTGCATTTCTTTACTGTTGTAAGTTCACATTATGAATTAAATGTATGAATATTTGTATGGAATCTGACAGAATAACTATTTTATGATCGTATTTTTATTCACGAAATGACTAGTATTTGTCGACAGTGTGAAACGGCTGTAACCGTCTACGGGACGACGGATGGACCTGTACTACCCCGGTCTGGATGCACTGCCGACATTACATGAAGACATCATCGACAAAGACACGCCCCACTTGGAGACCGAGCGATTGAAGCGAGACCTGGCAGCGATGCTGGCAATGGACGCCACTGCCGCCAGGTCCATCCACTCCCAATCACCTCAGCACACAGCCATCCTTTCCGACGAAACGACTGCTGGCGCCATTAAACTGCAGTCTTGGTGGAGGCAACGTGCCGCTCAACACCAGCTAGCCACGCTGATGCTGGAGAAATTCGAAGCAGATGAAGCCAGGCGACGGATGCGAGAGCAGCGGCTCGTTGAAGACACCCTCCAACTGCTCGACCGGTGAATAAATTTATGCAATACATAGCCATAAACGGTAGCGTCACCCCACTTTAGGTTGGCGCTGCAGACACACCTGACAAACGAAGCGTATTTGGCCAAATGTCGGAAAAACCACCAGAACCGGTCATAGCCACTTATCTATTCATGATGATCCACCAGACTGATTCATATTGATGTAGTGTGGCGTATTCTATCCAATGCTTGTACCGTCGGCACTCTGCGAAAAAGCGACCGACGACCTCGGCGGCCTTAGCGACGCCTACCTTTGACGCGAGTGCCTTCTTCCGTCCAGATAGCAGTTGAACTGGCCATGATTATACAATACTAGTACTAGTTGCCCTACATCTCTGTGATTGATTTGATCTTTGCTAGTGATCGCTATTAGCTGGCTACGAGTACAACAGTAGCTAACCAGTGCTACTTCGTGATCCAGCAGAATTGCGCAGGACGCCTCGTCCCGTTCGCTGCTGCTAGTGTTGTTGTTATGGTTGGATTATATAATTCTACTTGTCTATGTGATTGTTTTGATTCTTGCTATTAGCTGGCAACCACTCAGTCTACAGTAGCTAACTAGTGCTACTTCGCGATCCAGTGGAATTGCGCAGGGATGCCGTGGACGCTTCGTCCCATTCGCTGCTTCTAGTGTTGTTAGGGTTGTTGGATTTGGCAACAACCAAGCCACTACTGGCGTTGGTTGGGTCCTTGATCGCTCGTCGGGTTTTGAATACGCCATGGCACGTTCGGCATACTCGCTGGGCGTCCGTGACGGGCTTGCCATTGGACGACGTTCGGCCTGGAAACTGAGACGGGAACCGATGGAGCTCGACAGAAAACGCGGCGCACTCGGAGCAGCAGATGCGCGCGCAGTGCTTGCAGTGGTGCCGGCGATGGGCAAACCCGAACGGCTTGGCGCACACCATGCAGTTCTTTTTGTCCTTTTCGCTGATCCACAGCGGCGGCAGCCGGATCGCATCCAGTAGCTTCTTGAGCTTAACGTTGTCCCGCTGGGCCAGCTCCACGACGCGGACTCCGTCGCGGTCGGTCGCGTTGAGCTGGGCACCGGACCGGATGAGAGAGCACGCAATGTCCATGAGCTCTCGGTCGACGGCTACATGGAGGATGGTCGATCCGTCGACGAGCGCGGCGGTGGGGGCGGCGCCGGCGTCCAGCAAGATGTCGGTGATCGTCGGGTCCGTCTGTCGCGTGGTCATGATGTGCACGACGAGGGGGGTCTGCTGGCGCTGGTTGGGGACATCCACGACCGCGCGGCCGCCATATTGGAGCAGAAATTGCACCAGTCGTGGGCCGTTCTTTCGGTCTTTGGCCACGGCAAAGTGAAGCGCGCTGTTGCCGTTGCGGTCTTGAACTGTCATGAGGTCGTATATTCGCTTGGATTTGCACAGTTCATTCACGACTGTGTAGTGGCCCTTTCGAATGGCCACGTGGAGAGCCGTCTGTTGGTGCTTGGGCTCGCACACGAGGAGGTCGCAGTGGGCCCCACACAGCGCCTTGACGACGTGCAGATCCCCCCGGTCGGCGGCGTCCAGCAGCGCCGTCCGTCCGGCGTGGTTAACCGCGTCTGGATCCGTCCCCGCTTCCAGCAGCATCCGGCACACGTGGGCGTCCGTGGCCAGATGGAGCGGCGTGTTGCCGACGAGGTCGGTTGCCCCCAAGTCCGAGTCCCAGTCGATGAGGAGCGCGACCACCTCGAGGTTGTGATGCATCGCGGCCGCATGCAGAGGCGTCCGCCCCGCCGAGTTCGTCGCGAGCACACTCGCGCCAGACTCGAGCAAGTTAAGCACGTCCAGCTCGTTGGAGCAGTTGGCGGCCACGTGCAGCGCCGTGTCCCCCGGCATCTTTTCGACTGGCCGCGGCGGTTTCTGTCGGGTGGTGGTGCTCGTGTAGCCGGTGGCATCGCGCGAGTAGTCGCCCCCGCTGCGGGACATCAAGCGGAATTTGGACCCGCTGCCAGCCGTGCCTCGAAGTACCAACTCTTCGTCGCCGTCGGAAGAGGCCAGCGACGGCCGAAAGTCCCCAGACAACCGACTTCCAGACGACATGCGCTGGAGCGAACCAGTAGGACCTTTGGCGGTTTGGAGTTGCTGCTGCTGCTGTCGCACACGTTCAGCTTCTAGCCGTTGCTCAGCTTCTAGTCTTTGTTGCTCTGCCACTCGAATGGCTTCTCGTCTTCGATGCACCTCAAGAGCAGCAAGGTACCGACGGGTATGCTAACCATAAAAATATGAATATATTATAAATGATTTGCCATCACTACGTATCCCAATTCTGCGCGATTCGTCAAATCAATCACAACTGTCGCTGTGAAATGCTAGTGGCTTTCCCGATTCCGCAGCAAGCACAAAGTAAACACGAAAATATAATGTAGCCAATCCGCGCCAAGCATTTTTAGATGGACCAATGGGAGCGAGTATCGTGATTCGCTGGAACCGGGTCTGGAAATCATATCAAGAAAAATCTATACATATTGTGCTTTCGAGTGAAATTTCATTGTGTTGTGGCGTGGTTTCTCGTTGGAATTTAAATCGATTTGATTGGCTACCTCAGATGATCTCAAAATTATTAGCCAATCAAAACTTTCTCAATGAAATTCAACAACCAATCAGATCGATTGCGGATCGGTTTGGTCGGCGCAACGATTCGATTGCACCCCCTCCCCAAATTTGTATCAAATCGACAATACATGCCATCTCGTTTGTGTGAAAATATATACTAGTATATATATATGTGACGTGGTCCACACAGTGTGGTGATGACGATGTCACAGACCCGACTAATACCCCATAGAACCAATATATATATATATATATTGCATACCGTTTGCATACACAAGATGGCGGCCAAGGCGCGGCGGTGCTGCCGTTGGGCTAGACATCGGCGCCACAGGCTTTGAATCAGCACGACAAACTCGCCATATCGTTTCGCCAGCTGCGCTTCCACATACTGAATCGCCGTTCGTCGGAAAAATACCTTGGTCTCGCCCACTTGCAGAGACGATGACGAAGACGACGCTGTGCTCGATGGTTTGGCATGCGGAAGTCCCGCGGACGGATCACCGTCGTGGCCATCCAGCCGGAGCGTCTGCACCAACAGCGCGGCGAGGGTCGCGGCGGCGGCTCGGCGTTCGGGGGGCGTCGACGCCAGTTCATCTCCGCACGTGTCCGGAATGTGCTTGAGCATCCCCCCCGGGGTGAGCGGTCGATATCGCTTGACAAACTGGGCGTGGGTGATCCGGACGGGGAACCCCGCGCGGTTGACGCGCACTGCTTCGAGGACGCCGCCGGCCTCGAGCTGGTCGCAGATGCGGCGGAAGTCAAACACAGTGGGTTTATTCTTATCGTTCGGTTTCAGACATCGCACGTATGCGCACTGGGTGTGCTGGACCGTGTCCATGAGCTGTTTGAGCTGCCGTCGGAACGTGCTGCCGACGCTGGCGGATGCTTTCGAGATGGCCATCGACGACGGCGATGGCTTCAAGATGCCGCCCCGCGTCGACCTAGCCGCGCTGGGCGAATCGGCTTTGCTGCTGCTTATAGTTCGCAGAAACCCAAAAGATGAGTGGCGCACCAAGGCGGCGATTTCCGCATGCAGCGTATCCTTGTTCTTATCACAGAAGCCGAATGTGTGATACGAGACCCATCCTGCGTAGTGGTGGATGGCAAACATGTGGTTGGCGCGATCGGCATGGCTCGCCCGAAAGAAGCTCGACGGACACGCCAGATCTAGGGTCTTGGTGGTGTGCCGTTTGGTGGCTTTTCGGGCAAAGTTTTCGTCGCTGCCTTGGGGCACGATGCATTCTTCGTCTAGCATGTGGAACAACCCCATGGGTTTCTTCTCGAGCAAGTCCAGGCACGGCTGGTTATCGGGGAAGTTGATAAAGCTCCACTGAATGCGCTCCCGTTCATATGTGACTTGCTCTTGGCGAAGCACAGTTGCATTGAAGTGATGCTGCAGGGTTTCATTCGCATAGTTGATACACAGCTGCTCAAACGAGTTGGTTGACAGGTCTTCGAACCCAAAGATGTCGAGCACGCCAATAAACCCCGCGAGGTCGCCGTCGCCGTCGTGGTCGATCGTACTGTTGATGCGACCCACGAGGTACTCAAATAGCTTCCCATATACGTACCTTGCCAGCGCATCTCGGTGTTGCTCTGCTACTTCGGGAAGAAGACCCAGCGTATACCATTCATCCCGCGCTTGGATTTTCCGCGTGGTGAGGGCCACCTCGAGCGCATGCCGGTCCACGCCAAAGAAGGCGGTTACATGGAGCTCCGCGGCGGCGCTCGTCGGGTCACTCGACGCCAGCATGGACCCCTCTTCATGGTGTACGTTGTGGGGGGGGGCGTGGAATCTGAGGTTGCCAACATGGAGGACGTTTGCCAGCGTGTACAAGACGTTGTGCTGGTCTTGGTCGTCAAACTGCATCGTGTCGAATGCTTCGCGTAGGCATTCAAATTGGTCCTTATCGCTCACGCCGTCCTTGCGCACGACGCAGTCGCTTTGGTTGAGGTAGTAAAAGTACGCGGGGGGGTACGTTAAGCCCCATTTTGTTTTCCGATCGTCATCCAGCCCCGCCAAGAGTTCGTAGAATACGTGGTAGTTGCGCTCCTTTGGGGCTTGGCTGGTCACTCGAACTGTTTCAAGGAGATATGTCTGGATGCCGGCGCCGATAAGCAGCCCCCGATGGCTACTGAACTGCATCTGGATGAACTTGCCGAACCGACTCGAGTTGTCATTGCGGATCGTCCGCGCGTTCCCAAATGCTTCCAAGATCGGAGATGACGACAGCACCTGGGACATGACGTCGCTCTGGTTGATGTTGATATTGCACATGCTTTGGCTTTGGGACACGGCCGCGAGGTACTTCATGATGAACTTGGTGGTCTCGGTCTTGCCTGCGCCAGACTCGCCGCTCACGAGGATGCTCTGGTTCTGCGGTCGGCCCGTGAGCGGTGCCGTGAGCGATCGGAAGGCGGTGTCCGCGACCCCAAATACATGCGGCGGCACCGTCGATTCCTCGTCCCCCAACGCTTGGAGCATGCCATGACGGATGTACGTGCGAATCAACTTGTCGCTGTAGATGCCGAGATCTTGGAACGGATTCACGGCCAAGAGAATCTCGCCTAAACTCATCCATGGGAATGTACGAACGTGGATGGATGACAATTCTATGAGACATACCCGTGAGGGTGTAGATTTCGTTTTGCTTGAATCGTTCGTTCAGGGTGTGGCAGATGCCAGGTTCGTGCAAGTTGGGCAGGCGAATCAAGTCGTCCACCAAGTCCTAGTTGTGCATCATGCCCATGCAACTGAAGTGTATGGATGATGTACCATGTCGGCACTGTTGGCGAGCTTGACCGTGTCGTCTGTGCCATCTTCAACTTTGGCGACATCGACTTGGCGGGATTCGACGCCACCGCGCGCATACTCGTAGGTGATGTCGACATGCGCCCCGTCGCCGGCATCGTCCTTCTTCACATGGCGGATCGAAGCTTGGATCCACTCGTCCTTGCTCTTGACCCAGATGCCGACGCCAACCTCCATCGCACAGTGCTGACAACACACCAGGTGCATATACTCGTGCCCGATTTGATTGGGTCGTATGACGGATTGTCGAAAACGAGCCAATCAGAATGCGATACACCTGGCCTCTCACCCAATTTTTATAAATCGGTTTCAAGTCGCATACAAAGAACGTGTTTGTAATTTATTTTATTATGGGGGCACCGTTTCACATGAAATTTCAAGTACTCGATGGGTATTACGCACACAACTTGCAACGCTCTGGACCTGTAGACACTGAAGAACGCTATCGCTCAATTGGGTGGTCCGCAGCCTCTGTCGTCATGGGGATACTGCGATACTGTATACCTTTACCACCCCACCACCAGGTTTTGCTTTTCTCGACTTTGCACTAAGCAGCGCGATCAAACTTTACCGAAGAATCATGAAAACGGATTCTCATTGGTCGACAATATGACCTTTTATGGAAACGGCAAGTTCAAACAAACTGTCTATATTTAATACTAGTACCGTGGAATATCAAATCATAGAGTTGTCACAGATTGGGGTCGCTTTGCATTAAGATATTCCATTTGAAAGCAGCCGATGCGACACTACTTTGTCGTGATGATGATGGCGGCGGCGGCCGCGGTGGGACTTGCATCCGTGGAGGGATCGTTAGTGCATGACCGTAATGTGGGAGGTTTCCGACAAGTGGACCCTGATGACGACAACAAGGGCGACTTCTTCACCGCCACGTCGGACAAGGCGCACTATTCGAGCTCCAACGACCCGTTTGTGTGCGTGACGTCCTTTGACAAGGTGCTCCAGCAAGTGGTGTCGGGCATAAACTACCAATTCCACGTGCACGGATGCGCTGTGGATGCTCCATCCAAGGCCAAGGCGGACTGTACCTGCGGAGATCGACCCATCCAAAAGTTCGTCATCGAAGTGTACGCACAAGCGTGGACCCAGACGTACAAGGTGACCAAGGTGTCGACTGTTCCCCAGCGCCATGAGTTGTAGCAAGCGTCCTTCGGCAATGGGTTCGTCATTGTGTGTTGGAGAGATATGGCATTTAACTTCGCTTTGCAATCTAGTCCATGAATCGTGGCCCAATACAGTAGTACGTACTCCTTCGTCCCCATGATCTTTCAAACCCACGACTAGGACGAATTCACGCCACTCGACATGACAAACGACGCTCGACACGTGATGTGGATTCATGATGCGATGAATAAGACAAATACTCGTCTAATCTCCCTATTAATAGCACTAATTTACCCATCGACATGTTATTAATACTATATCTTTGCGGCCAAACGACGTTATAGTATTATTGTTGGCAATAGTACCTCTATAACTGCATACGAATAAGACAAGTACTATTACTTCTCACAGTCACTTGTCACCTGTTTATTACTTCAACGCAACATGGTAACCTGCCTAACAGTATGTATATATTGAACCCAGCCGACGTTCAAGTGTCGTTGATTATACCGTCCTCTATCGTATACGAAATCGCATTTTAACGTACGAGATGATACTACTGAATGAGTGTCGGGGTGGTCGTAGTGATGCAAGGTCCCGCTTACAGCACTTCGCTACAGAGAACGGTCAGCATACGTTTCCACATACACATAATCATGAACAAGGCAGACAGACGTACTAAGCCGGGCCTCCGCCGCCTTCGGGCACGGTCCAGTTGATGTATTCTTGGGGCATTTTGATCGAGCAGCACTTGCAATGCACGCAGTTTTGCGCGTTGATGACCAATTGGGGCACTCCATTCGCCCCTACACATCGACTCGTGTCAACCACAGTTTGTTGCATCCCGTGAATCAAGATGGCCGTACCAGCTTCGCTGCCATCCGTGTACTCGTACACTTTGGCAGGGCAGAACCGCTGCTCGGGGCCGGCAAACACTGGAAAAGATTCCGTCGACGGCACGCCTTCCTTGCCAGCCTTGATGCGCAAATGTGACGGTTGGTCGGCGTGGTTGGTGCCGCTGCGTTGCAAGTTGGACAGCAAGTCGAACGTGAGCACACCATCCGGCTTGGGGTAATCGATGGGCATAAAGTCCTTGGCTGGTTTGGTTTTGGCCGAGTCGGGCTTGTCGTTGCCGAGCGTCCACGGCTCCAGGCCGTTGAGGATGAACGCGCTCAAGCCAGAGTACAACACGCCCGGAAGCGCGCCCCAGTGGAACGACTGGTGAGTGTTGCGCACCTTCTTGAGCTCTTCGTACACCCACGAGTCTTGAATCGCCGTTTCGTAGCTACAATATATATATATATATATATATATGTCAAACCAAACACGACTTGCTAGGCAGGCAGTCACCTTGAGATATCGACCACCGGCTCGGCTTGGTCAATCACACTCGACACTGCCACGGCCTCCAACCCCGTCGACGTCAGCGCCGCGTACGCGGCTTCGGCCGCCAACATGCCCGACTTCATGACCGTGTGTGAGCCCTTGATCTTGATGCTGTTGAGGAAACCCGCCGAGCATCCAATGAGCGCGCCACCGGGAAACGTGAGCTTTGGAATGGCATGGTACCCGCCCTAGATCAATCGATTGGTTCAGGATTGTTTGGTTCCAACACTTGAGTACACTGACGACGTACTTCGTTCAACACGCGCGCTCCATACGCAATGCATTCGCCGCCTTCCAAATGGCTGCGCACGGCAGGATGTGTTTTAAATCGCTGGAATTCCTCGTACCTAAGACAGTGCCGTTAACGTCGTTTTTGATTTCCCTCGTGTCCAAACTCACGGGTTCAAGTACGGATTTTCGTAATCCAAGCCCACAACAAGGCCAATTTGCACCAAGTCGTCGTCCATGTGGTACAGAAACGACCCGCCAAACGTCTTGTCCAGCAGCGACGACTGCAGCGGCCACCCCAATGTGTGCTGCACCAACCTACCTGGACCATCACTCTCTTGTTTCAAGAACGGAGGTACCCTGGAGAATGTTTGTCTTTCGGGATGCGCCACACTTCCTTGATGCCGAGACCGTACGTTTGAGGCTGCACATGTTGACGCAAGTTGAATTTCCCCATCACTTCTTCGCTGCACGACCCGCGGCAGCCCTCGCCAAACAACGTCACGCGGGCCCGTAGCTCCATGCCGCGGGCAAACGTTTCCTTTGGAGTACCATCCTTGTTGATCCCGACATCGCGCGTAGCAATTCCGCGCACGCCGCCGTCCTCGCGATACAACACCTCGGACGCTGAAAAGCCAGGGTAGATTTCCACACCCAATTCTTCGGCTTGGGCACCCAACCACCGCGTCAACTTGCCCAAACTGATGACATAATTGCCGTGGTTGTGCTAGATGCATGTATATAAGTCGCATGACACTCTAATGTACTGCACCTGTTGAGGAGGCAGCAAGAAATTCGGAAGCTTCCACGATCCATCCTTGGAAATGATGAGGAACCGATCGTCGGACACGGGGGTGTCGAGTGGCGCGCCTTTCTCCTTCCAGTCCGGGATCAATTCGTTCAATGCGCGCGGTTCAAACACGTTTCCTACACCATCGACGATACTAACTTGTCTCGTTCATGTTCGTCTTCGAGCATGTACCTGAGACTATGTGCGATCCAACTTCAGCGCCTTTTTCCACCACGCACACGGAAAGGTCCGTGCCTTTTTCAAGGCCAAGCTGCTTGATGCGAATCGCCGCTGACAAACTCGCTGGCCCGGCGCCGACAAGCAGCACGTCGTAGTCCATGCCTTCCCGAGGAGCGGAGAAGACATCGTCGCTGAAGTACCGCGATCGAACGATGCTTTGGAGCGCAGTTCGTCCGAGGAGCTTGGAGGAACCCGTGGCGGCGGCGCGGCGCAACAACATGGCTGTGCAATCGAAGATTTGAAAAACTGAAGTGGATATCCCGTCAACAGTTTCGTGTGGCGTGGGAGTGGGAGGTATCGAAGTTCGAAGATAGCATCGCTTGAAGATAGCAGAGCTTGAAGTTGGAAACCGTACTTCGAAGCAACAATTTCACTTGATGTTTCTATGCGTTGAGTACAGCTTCCAACTTAGATGAAAACTCAACTTCAATAGATGATCAGATAAATACTGTATCTATAATACTAGTATCAGTTATTACTGGTACAGTATGTACAATACGGTACTGCATTAGTATGAACAACGGTGCTACAGTACAACTGTACATATTTGTCGTTGACCTGCACCATGATATATACTAGTATAACGTTATCGTGAATATAATTATATTGCTCAACGTTACTTACTACTACGAGTACTACTGTATAAAAATGGAATAGTTAAATATATTGTTCAAATTTACAGTGTTAATTTCATTGGTGCATAGGTACGATAAATACCGGTACGTAGTCCTTTTTGGTATCGTGAGTTTCGTAAAACAAATCGCAGAAAAAGAGGTAAAAAAGTACTACTACGTACACGCCGCCGAATCACGAATCGACGCTATTGGGTAATCCAATTTTGAGTGGATTTGATTGGCTCTTACAGAAAGGACAACTCCACAATATTGAGTAAACAAACCACGCGAATTTTGGAAGTTTATAGCGAATTCACACTACTAGTACTTGGAATCACTTTTTCTAAAAATATCTACTTGGAACAGGCCCTTATGATTAATATTAGTTGATTGTTATCACGTAACATATGATATTACGATTATTTGAGGGTAAACTCGATCGGCCCCATGGCTACAATCTGCTTGAGCGCGTGTTCCATCAACTCTCGCGACGGGTACATGGGCAAGTCAATGCGGTTGAAGCACGAATGGGCCAATGGGAGGCCGCCACGTACGTACGGAATCGCCTTGATCGAAAACGGGCACAGTACACCGTCGCTGCCCGTGAGGCCTTTGAAACCTGCATATACATAATATTCCTATCACAACGGATATTCAATCTTGACGATACATACATACATACCTTGGACAGGCACTCGAGTCGACCCCGTCGCGAATTGCAGGATCTTGGCTCGATCAGGCGACGCCATATTCTCCAATATATCCCAAAACCAATACATTTTCATGCTGTGGTACTCAAAATCACGAAGTACGCTCGACGTGACTGTAAACTGCTTCCAGTCTGCTACGTCGATCTCGGTCACGCCACACAATACCAGCTCGAGCTCTTTATGGTCAAACATGATCAAATAATACTGCGGCAGGATCTACACAATCATTCCGAATTGTGCTGTTCAGTCATATTTGCCTACTACGTACATTTTAGGGGATTGATGAAATCGCCAACTAATCGAGAAAAGGAGTATGATTGGCTACAAAGAATGAAGGTTGCAATTTGATTGGCTAAAAAGATTGATTGATGCATTGAAGTCTTACAAAGATACCTCGTCAACTGAGTTTTATATGAAATGTCAAAGGTCCGGCGATTGTGAGGAAATTTACACACAATAATAAGACAATGAAACAAACCATTCAAATCACTTGGAATCCTCCCCACATTATTCATTCATAAGCTAATGAATATAAACTAAAACCACGTGAATAAGATAAATCATCATGTGTACCTCAAACAGCCCCGTGAGCAAACTCTGGAGCTGCAGTTGGATGCGATCGAACAAGAGGTACTGGAGCATACGCTGCACGTATTCCGCCTGGTTGGCGGCCGTGACCATGATATTCTGGCCATGCGGAACCAACTCGACGACATTTCCGCCTTCCACTGTCACGCTAAAGTCGAGGCACAGCCCGTCCACGTCCAATGTCGACTGGACGAACTTGAGACTCGTGTACATCTGCTTGTCCATGTACAGCATGTCAGTCATAGACAGCGGCGTGCCCAGGATCATCTTGAACAGCGGCACCGTCAAGTGGAACGGCAGCACCTGCTCGTCCAAGATGGATCGCGCCAGCAGCCGACCCACGGCGCGGAACTTTTCCAAATCCGACCGACAAGTCGACGACGGGTTGAGCGTGTACCCGTACGAGTCGGTGGCCACAAATAGCCCCGCCGACGGCTCAAATACAGCCTGCGTGAACAACGTGTACCTACCCACCGTTCTTTTACCAATATTTGTATTTGGAAGAAATGATAATATTACCATTCTCGCTGCAACCCACCGGCATCGATGCCCGCTTCCCCGAGCAACTCGATGCGTGTTCGGGTGCAGAGGACGTTTGGCTGTAGACTCTGGAGCATGTGCATGGACTCGTCGTACAGATGGTGTCGATAAACGCGAAATTTCACATGTCTAATAAGTCGGACCATTCAGCGCACAATTGCCAATGATCAAGTATAGTGTACCCGTGGTCAATGTTGGCTTTGAGAAGCGACAGCAGGGCCACGTATTTGGCCGTGAATGGCTGGTCGGCTAGGTCGACGAGCTGCTGCGTGAGCCACGGCGACACTCTCGTGCCCATCAGCGTCCGACTGGCGTGTTCCACGTCCTCGATTGGATGAAAGCCCAGTTCAATGCAAACTGAGTTGTTTGCAGCCATGTCTAGGTTCAGGGTCGTGGTCGTGGTTTCGGGGAGGTCGTTGTATTCGGAGTGTGTGGCCACCGCTCCTTCCTCCACAACCACCTGAACGAACTCGTTCAAAAAATTGGCTGGATACAATGCGTCGTCAGTCATGTCGAATGGCAAGGTCGACGTCACGACGAAGTAGCGCTCGGCGGGGGCCTCGAGCTCGGGCGGCGCGATGGTTGTGCGGACCCACGTCATGCTGTTGGTGGCTGCATCCAGCACCCGCCTCCATTCCTTTCGCATTCTACATGTTCGAACCACCAAAATCACGCGTGATAACGCCCTATATCGTCCGTAGTACATACACGGCGCTGTGTTGAAGGGGACTGAACTCACTCGGATGTAATACAAACGCAAGCCCGTGGTCGCTGTCCGACGCAGTGACACTAGTGTTTGCAGCGACACTAGTGCCTGCCAGAAATCAAAGTCAGCAAAACGGCGGGTTCGTGATGGTGTCATATACCTCGTTTGGTCTCACACAGCGCACACGCGAGGGTTTCGCGGCCGTTGGCAAACGCGCAGACGTTGCAAAGCCACTTGGACGCGTCCGACTCCCTGCGACAAGTCAGAAGTGGATTCGCAGTAACGTGAGTACCTGTCTGGAATGTCTCCTCGACTTAGACCATTCAACGCGCCCACGGAGCTGACGAACAGACACAGTAAGTGAGACGACCCAACAACGGAGCGGGGTGGTGGTGGTCGTACTCGTGATTGAGCAAGTGGTCCGTGTACCCAGAGGGCGACAAGGCCTTCATACATAGCTTGTAGAAGCTATAGCTGCCCAGAGCTAAGAACGCAGCTACACCAGCACCCACCCCAAGCACCTCCACGACGGAGGTCATAGTGTCTGTCCACTTTCGACGCTCAAATGCTGGGCGGAATTAGCCATCAGCAGCGGATAGTGGGACATTTCAAACGAGTGACCAATC